GTGAACGGAAAACATTTTATGCGTTTTCAGAGTTGAAACGCTGTTTTCAAATTTCTTCGCCGTAAGTTTGGACGGGGCCTCGTAAGCATTTCAGTAGACTTTCTAAAAGTCCTTTCCAGTAATATTTCCATTGTTAGTTTCTCCGTTGGAAAGGACTCTTCCCACTTGCAGCGCGGCAAATTTTACCGGTGGATTTTTCCACCGGTGACGTAAATACACATTAACCAATGAACAAACAAGTACTGACTATACGTCATGACGTCACGCGCGATCAACGACACAACTCGCAGAGCAAATGTCTGTCGAGTTCAAGTACTACAAAATCTTTTTCATTTAGCTTTTGTTCTCGGATATACTTAAGGATATGAATTTTATGGTCGCAGTTGAATATGGTTTATCCAACTTAATTTCAAGTCTTTGAAAGAAGGACAGGGAAAAGCAGTGGAACGCTATTTATCCGACCAATACGTTTTTGTTTACTTACGGACGCGATCTGAGCTCCTGCGTGATCTGGATCGTTTCAGAGAATTAAGTTTGGACTTTTCAAAGAAGAACAGAGTCCTTCCTGCAGTTTGTGTAATTGTTGCACTTTTAGTTGATTTAATGAATGACCAAGTAGCTTCTCTACAAAGAAAGGGCATCGCAGCAAATTTGCCTCGGCCGTTTTAGTGTTGAAAGCACTCGTCGATCGATGAAGGAATTTTGGGAACACCGATTTTATTCTCTGCCGTTCGTTCTGACTTCGATTCTCAACGTTATTTAATCAAGAGAGCTTTACAGAATTAAAGTTCTCCCCTACTAATTCCGTCTTCTTTAGTTAATTCGGATTCTTGTTGGTACAAGCCAGATCTATAAGTTTATAGCATTTGCCAGGTAGCTGTCTGGTTGATCGCTGGTTAAACTCTAATCTAGACGACCAATCTAGACTAAAAATAATTCCCGATCGGTTTAAACACGGTTTTGACTTTTCAGGAGGCGTTACTCAGTGGAACAACTTTTG